AAACTTTAGCACGCCATCTAGATGCAGGCCAACTAGTGTTTCCGGATCCCACTCTCTCCTAACTCACCGAAATTGTTCAGCAGATTCACTCCCTATGGTGTTCAGCCTGACAATCAGAGGCTCTGGGCAAACATGCTTGGGAAAGAACGATTACTCCTTTCCAGATGATGACAGTAAAAGTTTAAAGACACATGCAGCCAGAAAATGTTATGCTCTTAGAACTTAGGCTATCTTAGCATCCTTGAAACTAGAGAGTAAAATTTATTTCACTTAGTGTTTGTGGTCTAAGAGAGCAAGAGAGATGGTTCAGCAAAAGAAGATGCTGCTAGTATTACCAACTGGGAGAAAGGTTTCTGCAAAATCAAAGACACAGTAATAAAAACAGCTTAATAATTTCTTGTAACAATGCTTCTAACAAAGCATGGTACCACCAGCTAACATGACAACATGTATATGATGCCTAGAATCTATGTAAAGTTCTATACCACTTATGTATAATATCCATGTATTTCTGTCACATATTACATTAAATGAGGTATTAACGTAGTTTCTTCATTAGGTAAATTTAACATTTGGGGTAAGAAGCAAAATATTCCAATATTTATTTTCTTTCTCTTTGATGTCTACAGTACATTCTGATAATCTCTGAACATTTGACATGCATTTGAATCCATTCATCCTTTACAGAATGTATTTTCCATATGTTTGTAACACAATATCTTTGCCTTGCCATTGATCAGGTTCTGGTTTGTACTTGAGGAACTGATGCCAGAGAAGTGGCAAATGGTTTTCATTGGCTGTGTATTTTGGCTTGTGTTTTAGGCTTATTAGAAAATTGTTTTCAATCCCAAACTTTAAGTACCAGTAACTCTTCCTCGAAAGTGGTGACAGAATTTCACAAAGTATAAGTTATGACAAAACAAGCATAGTCTCAATATTTTCTACTGCTCATAGGATAAAGCAGTATATTTTTCATGTCATGTTTTCTTGTAGAACATACTAAAATGGAGCAAACAAAGTTGTGACTGGTGCAAGCAAATGCATTTAATGGCCAAAGTCTATGTTTTGAATATTCAAGAAGTAAGTGGTAACTGGGACTCACAGGTTGCAGTACAAGGAGACATTCCAACTAGAATGTACAGTTCCTTCATCCACACTATGGAAGAACCATTCAGTTTATTAACACAGAATGGAAATACCTATTGGAAGCATTACACATTTCCAGGCACTGCATGCAATAGGGACCAAACTGTCCTCATCTCATATGCTGGTTCAGACATTTTCCACAAATGGCATGTGGCCTCCCTAAAACCTCCAAATAAAAATTTCTTGTTGATACACACTTATGCATGTCTACACATAATATTTGATAGTCTCAGAAGAAAGTTTAGTTTTCTGAGCAGATCAAACTACAAAAGTGTCATTATTTTCCATTTTAATACATGAATTATTTTTTCCAAGTTATCCTTGAGACTTTATTATCATAAAGATTTCTGCATCAAGGAGGTGTTCTTTCAATTTTATTATTACTTCCTGAGTCAGAAAAATCTACCTGTGTTTATCACAGCTAAGAAGGGTTCAGTGAGACAAACCCATTGCCCTGTCCTCTCCTAATTTCCTGCATATTCTAGTCACATAATCTTCTCAGGTAAGCCACTTAAAGCATAAATAAATAAAAATATGGATGCCAATAAAGGAATTCCTCAGAGAAAATTCACTGGTGCAAATCTGGATCCCTTCACTGATTAGAGGATCTGATTTCTACTTGCAAACCACATACAGAAAATAAATAAAAATATGGATGCCAATAAAGGAATTCCTCAGAGAAAATTCATTGGTGCAAATCTGGATCCCTTCACTGATTAGATGATCTGATTTCTACTTGAAAACCACACAAAAAGATCATCCACCATGATCAAGTTGGCTTTATTCCAGAGACTCAGGGATGGTTCAATATATGTAAGTCAATAAACATCATAAATCGTATAAATGGACTCAAAGACAAGAATCACAGAGTACTTTGAGTTAATGGATCTCAATTTTGTGGTTGTGTCTTCACTTGTATGATGAAAACTTATTTCAGTCACCTTGGGTAGATTCCTGCCAACATGACATAATTTAAATATTTTTATATTTTTGTGTATATGAGTGTATTGCCTGCATGTATGTAAGTGCACCCATGTCATATAATGCCCACAAGGTCAGAAAATGGCACCAGATTCCCATGAAACTGGGATTATGGAGTTATTAATGGTTGTTAGCCCCCATAGGGTGCTGGGAATTGAACCCAGGTCCTCTCTAAGAGCTGCCAGTGCTCTTAACCACTAAATCATCTCTCCAGCTCCATCTTGACATAGTTTAAAGAACAAAAGAAAAGAAAGCTTTCTCAGCTATGACCTTGACTGAGAAATACCTTTAAAAATAGTTGGTTAACATGTATTAGAAGCCATCTTCCCATAGATCCATGATTGTCTTAATGTCTTTTTCAAAGATCTGTCCTGTGTTTTAGAGTACCTGCTGCTGCCTTCCCTCCATTTTAGACTCTAATTCTGAAGTTTACTTTCTTCATGGTATGAGTAAGAGTTTTACCACCTTCAATTTTTTCGCTCAGGATATACTCAGCCATGGCTATGAAATAATCTTTTTGCTTTAACCAGGCTTACATAATTGACAGAACATTTTTATTATTATTTTCTCATATATTTCATTGTTTATCCAATTATACCTATAATATAGAAATGTCCAATATATGTATGACTATAGGTCTAAGTTACTTTTCCATGTGTAAAGTTGAAATACAGGGTGTCTGACTCACTAACAAGACAGTATAACAAGTACATTGTAAACCACTCTCTGGAAAAGTCTGTTCTTTATGTTATAATGATGCATTAGTGAAAAAAACAGCATACAAAATCATCTTTAACCTTTTACTCATGTGAAATATAATGATAGAACTAAACTTTACATGAGGTATGCTTCTCTGAGAAAAAAAAATCCCCTAAGATCCATTTAAAAATGACAGAAATACATCTTATCTGCAGTGCAGGGGAAGTGACTCATTCCCAGATTCTAATTATCTATTTGCTGGGCAGTAAGATTGGAACCATCCATTATCAAGAAATTCTAGGTTTTGTTAAGACCCTGGTAAATATAATAAATATATAGAAATGTCAGACCCAGGCTGGAAGAGGCAGGTGCAAGCAACTTTGTGCTTAATAATGGTGCTTATAAACCCTATTTAATGTTGTATCTAACTCTCTTTTTCAGTATACTGAACACTTTTGGGCAAGATATTCACAACAGTCTCCTCAGCTCTCAGATTAGCAGCTAGTGCATAGAAATGCAAAATAAGCATCATTGGTTAATCAGTGGACTGGGAGTGGAAAAGATCATAAGGAGGATGCTGAGAAGGAAAGTTAGAGGATTTTAATGATAGGAACTCATGAAATTTAGGACCTGAAAGGGTGTGAGACCTTGATGGTAACATATTTTCCCTTGGATGTCTGCCTGACTATATGAGCTCTCTTTTGTAATCACCCTTGTCCATCTTCATATCACATGGAAGTGTCCTTCTTAGGAGAGTAGTGTGATATAGTTAGCATGATGGTTTCTGTGCCTGAAGCTATTACAAACACATTTTGAATTTTTTAAAACTGGTTTTGGTAATAGTGACAATTGGGAAATATATATGTGATAAAAAACTCCCTCTCATATGTTTATTCTTCTGGGTTTGCATGTAGGGTTTTTGTACAATAGTCAATATTTTACACATCTGTGCTGAAGGTTTCTTTACACTAAAGACTCATGGAGGACTTGATGGCATATGAATAGAAAAAACTAGACCAGCCTTCCTGATCTGCTTATACCAGACAGAGACTGGTGGTTCAAAATTGAGAGTAAGGTAGAAAAATGGGACTTAGACAATGGAATAGTGATCCCTAGTTCAGATGACAGTGGGCGAGTGTGCAGAGTGTGTGTTGGGGGGGTGAGGGCAGACTGTGGAGGAAATAGCACCATTTGCCTCTCCTTTATTTCTCATTGCCTGTTAGTCCTGCCTTGTTATCTGACCTTTGTACTAAGAGATATGTAAGTTGTAAGTCCAATGAAAAAGGAAGAAGCAAGGAAATTTTAAGTGACCACAAGAAGGAAGAAGAATGTCCAAGGTTTGCAAGAGATTTATAAAAAGGACAGAGATGGTACCCACAAAACCATATCTATTATTCTAGGCTAATTCCTTCCAGTATGAGGTTATAAGGGGGTTGCATGAAAGTATCTGTGGAGTCATGACTGAGGATTTGCCCATCCTTTCATTCTTAACATCTCGATGCACTCGCCTCCATGCTATAATTAGCAAAATAGAATGATGTTCTATTTATATCATTCTATCCCAACTATTGAAGGACGGAATAAAAGGAAGAATCTATTACTTTAATGATTCATCTTAAGGTATCCCAAACTGCTACACAAACATGTCTGAATATATTTGACATATAAATGGTTGTGAGTAATTAGAGGGTCAAATGAGTTAATATCATTGTACCACAAAATGAAAAATGAACAATAATTTAGAACATGGGAGTTGACATGTGTATTTATGAAAATGTCTACTACCAATTCTTTGGGGTTCCTCTCTGATGACCTACCTCCCCAGAACAGAGAGAATAAAAGATATGCTTATGGTAATACTGGGAAATGTAGCAGGTCCTTGGGTGTGATGGCAGCTTTTCACCTCAGGTGAGCAATAAGTTAGGGAATCAGAGTCTTGGACAATCAATGAATGCCAAAGCAAACCAAGTCCGTGGCTTCTGTGTGCTTTATCTGGAGACCTTAAAGAAAGAATTTCATGGTAAATGGGAGGGTGAGTTTTAGAAAGCAGTTGATTACAAGATTATAGGTGAGAGCTTAAGAGCAAAAGCAAGTGGAGCTCCTGTATAGCTAGAGCAGGTACCAAAAAAGGGTTGCCAATGGGGGTCCCACTCTAGGGATTAATAAGACTTTACCTGGTTGAGGCGTGAAGGTGGGTGAGATGGTGAATCCAGTTGTCCTCCCAGAGAGGTGCCTAATGTGCTTCTCCATCCTGGGTGTCTGGACTGGAGTTTCTATCACGCCCTCATAGAACTTCTGGTCTGTTGTGCTCATTTAGGCTGCTGTGCAAAAGAAGAAAGATGGCCGGGACCTGGAGCATGGACCACCGTTACTAAGCATGCTGGCCTTTCCCCTCCAGCCTGGACAGAAATATCAGTAGAACAAAGGTCATTTCCATCTTCTAGCCAAAGTTACTACCCTAACACTGTCTGGCCAGTTTCTTTTTCTTCTTCTCAACACTAGTATATGGAAAACTACATTCTAGGTAGAATGAGTACATAAAGGCAAGAAGAAGCCTGATCAGTTTCAATAATTAGATCAGTTTATCATCAATGAAGTATAAGAGGGGAGCCCTGATCGCAGGGAAAGAAACTACAGTGATAGGCAGAGCTCAGCTCATGAGTGCCTGCCTTCTCACACTGCATAGGTACACTTTGTATGGTAGGAATTGTAAGACAGTTGCAAAATTGACTCCTGGGGTAACAGTGCTTGAGGTAGAGTGGAAAGGAACCCAAGTTAGGAGAGGCATCCAGTACTTAACCTAGGGAAATGATAGCAGAGAGAGTGGTTGAGTTGGAGTAGGATATTGTTTAGAAGATAAAAATCTATAACTTTTAATGATGTGGCTTGCTTGGCAAAAGTTTGCTGTGGGTAGTGACAAATAATTGATATTCTAATGCTAGCAGAGATAACTCCTTTCAGATTCTTGGAAGAAACTACATGATTATCATGCATTAACACAGGTCCCTCTTTAATGGGGCAAAAGTTGGCAACTGTCCTTTTCAAAATATTTTCAGTGGTTATTTTTGGAATTTTCCCAAGGCAAATCATATGGTTGATATACTGGCCAGGATTTACCATAGAATGCATCAATATTTCCAATCACAATAAATATACTATAAAGGCAAGTTCAGTGCTTATCTTAATTGGCTAACAGATAATGAAGCCCACAATGCTGTTTAATCTATTAGCATTAACAAGGTAGAAGTAGGTTTTATCAATACTGACACTTGTTCAGCCCTGGAAAATAAGAATTTACAATCACAGGCAACACTTCTTTATTAACAGCAGCAGGTTAATCCTAACTGTTGCACTCTAAATTTGTGCTAAATAACACTAAAATTTACTTCCACTACCTCATTATTCTTATAGTTTAAGGTCTCACCACTCAGTGTATCCTGTGAACAGAAACATCTACAGTACCTAGGGTTCATTAAAAATGCAGAAACTTGGGTTACCCCACAAATTTACTGAATTGGGGTATGAATTTAGCATAATTTCCAGTTGATGCTCAGGGCTGAGAATGAGTTAGCTAGAACATAGGTTTGTTTGAATCACAGAATTGTGTAGGGAATGGCAGAAAACCCTCCTGCTGAAATCCTGACAAACTTTGAAAAGAACATTTTAAGGTTTGGAAAAGCAACTGCCAAAAAGGAGATCTAGAGAAATTAGACACTTGAATGAAAAGACCAAGCACAGAAAGACATTAACTTTGAACAGTTTTGCTCTGAGGATAGTATAGAGTCAACAAAATGTGCTGGCAGGTAAAGCACAAAGTCCGAATCCTATTGACCTGAAGAAACAGAAGTGAACTTTAAGGGCACTAACATGGGCAGAATCTGAGAAAATACAACAGATAAGAGAATTCTAGAAGTGTTCCAAACCTTTATACGCACTATCCTCATATCCTTGGATGATTTCTAAAATGTACCCACAGGCTTAAAATCCCATGTAGCCCAAATAAAAACACTAAGAGTCTACACAAAGCAGGGGCAGGTTTAAGCTGCAGGCAGGAAAGGAAGACAGAATGCTTAAGTATTTCATTTTTCTGTTATATTTTTCATTTTTCTTTCTTCTGGGTTTATATGTGTCATCCAAATTTTCCTCTCCTCTACTTTCTACAGTTAAAAACTTATGATATTGGGCCTGGAAGATGGCTCAGCAGTTAAGAACACTGGTTGTTCTTGCAGATGACCCGGGTTCGAATCCCAGCACCCACATGGCAGCTAACAACTGTCTGTAACTCCAGTCCCAGGCAATCCAACAGCCTCTTCTGACCTCCGTGAGTATTGCACAACACGGGTGTACTTACCTACATGCAGGCAATATACACATACATACAAAATAAAAATAATAAATTTTAAAAAATCAAAAACAAAAAAACCTATGATATGGATTTTACATTCTCATTTCTCAAATCATTTTATCATGTATAATTACAGAAGACTAATGAATTTCTCTCTAAAATTCTTAATTTTCCACATTATACATTAAGGGTTCAAAATTAATAGAAAACTATATGAGTACATTAAATTGGGTTGGGGCAATAAGAGGAGGTACATACAGGGGAGAGGATCTAAATACCATCAAATTGTAATGTATGAAAATCACAAAAATTCAATTAAAAATTTTTAAAGATTTATTCACTCAAAAAAGAAAAGTTGCCTAACAGACTGAACACAAAGTTCTAAGAAAAAGTAATACAATTGGATAAAAAATATTTTTAATTAATTAATTAATTATCTTTTTGAGACAGGGTCTTTCTGTAGCCCCAGCTGACTTGGAACACACTATGTAGACCAGGCTGGCTCTGAACTCATGATCTGCCTGCCTCTGCCTCCCAAGTGCTGGGATTAAAGCACTGTGCCAGTTGCCTCCCAAGTCTGGGATTAAAGGGCTGTGCCATTACATGTGCTTTAAGTATTTATTTTCATTTTATGTGTATGAGAGTGTTTTGTTTGTATGTGTTTAAGTGCATCCATGTCAAGAAAAGCCTGTATAGGCCAAAATAAGGCATCAGATCTCACGGAACTGGAGTTACATACAGTTGTTAGCTGCCATGTGGGTGCTGGGAATCAAACCCAGATCCCCTGCAAGAGCAGTCAGTGCTCTTCACTGCTGAGCCATTTCTCCAGCCCCAATAAATGCTTTTTAATGTGTTCACTACACTTAACAGTCAGGAAAGTGTAAATTAAAACTACTTTGAGATTCCATCCTTAGAATGGCTAAGCTTGAGAATACAAAACACAAAACAATCTTAAAATTTAAATGCTCTATAGGAGGTAACACCATGCCTGAACTTAAGTTATACTACAGAGCTATAATAACTTAAACAGTATGGAACTGGAATAAAAACAGACACATTTTTCAATGAAATAGAATTGAGGACTTGGACTATGTACCCACAGCCACCTGGTTTTCACTAAAGAATCCAAAAATACACATTGGAGAAAAGACAGTATCTTTAACAAATACTGTTGATCAACCTGGATCAACATGTGAAAGAATGAAACTGCATTCCTATCTTTCAAACTGCAGAAACGCAATTCGAAATGAATCAAAATCTTCAACATAAGTACTGGTACCCTCAATATGATTAGAGAACATTTCAGTTTATAAGCACAGGAATCAACTTTCTGAATAGGACCCTAAAAGCACAGATATCAAGAGCAACATTAGCAGAATGGGTAACATGAAACTCAAAAGCATCTTGTCAACAAAGAACACCATCATTCCAGTAAAGAGACAGCCTACAGGTGGGAGAAAGTCTTTACTAGCTACACTTCTGACAGTGGGTTATTATCTAGCATATACAAATAACTTATAACACTAGACATAAAGAAAACAAACCACCCAGTTAAAAATTGGGTCAAGGAGCCAGGTATCAAGGAAATATGTAGAGAATTCTCAAAACATGAGATATGAATAGTTAAGAAATACTTTTAAAAATATTCAACATCCAGCCACTCTGCTTCCTGTGCCTGGTTGAAGATGTGAGCACTTAACTTTTGCTCCTACTCCAGCCTAATGGAGCCACCTCTGCTGCCATGCCTCCCTGCCATTTTGGATTCTTTCGCCTTTGGAACAAAGACATTTGGGACGAAATGCACAATGTGATTCTAGCCACTCTAATAGCTACCAATATGCCCAAAAAGCAGACCTTGAGTCCAACTGTTGTAGCCCAAAGAAAAAGGAGTAACCCAGTAGATGGATGCTCTTGGAAGCCCTCATCAAGAAACTCTAATGGATTTTGATTCTGACTTCTCCTTGTTCCCTGCCTAGAACTTGTGGCTAACTAAACTTGCCTTTACTACTTCTCATCTCCTCCCAAGCGCCTGTCAAGGATTCTCTTTTTCTCTCTAGATCTAACAGTTATAAATTTTTGGGGTCTTTTAGATAGACCCACTGAAGGAGCACCCCAGTTACTACAGTCTGCACTCCTATTCAGCATGAAAGTTGTCAGAACAACTGGCATCCAAATTCCCTATTGGCTATTAGGGTTACATCTTCAGAGGGAGAAGTAATGAAAATAGGAGGTAGAAATGGGCGAGACAATTTAGGGTAAAGACCCAAAAACAATATGACCATTTTCTTTCCAGCTGAGAGCTGTAAAGCCCCTTGGATCTGGGAGTAAGCTTGTCCCTATCTGAGGCTATGAATGTTAGAACTATGTGATTAAAAAATGTCTCAAGTTCCGTGATAGCTAAAAGCTGTAGAGGCCAATAAGGGGTTCTTTTTTTTTCTCTCTCTCTCTTTTTCCTAAAATAATATCCTACTCCTGGAAGACATGCTGAAGGCATGACCAGAACCTTGATGGATCTGGACACCTGGAATGAGGACTGGACTGACCAGCTCATTTCCCCCTCCTTTCCTCCTCCTACTAAATTCTTACTGACTCCTCTCTCTCTTTTTCCTAAAATAATATCCTACTCCTGGAAGACATGCTGAAGACATGACCAGAACCTTGATGGATCTGGACACCTGGAATGAGGACTGGACTGACCAGCTCATTTCCCCCTCCTTTCCTCCTCCTACTAAATTCTTACTGACTCTGAGTAATGAGATCATTGTACTATGCTTAATCAACTGTTGTCTCCAAAGGTTCTTACAGAATCTCCTGACTGAGAAGCCTGTATGACTGCCCAAACCACTGCCTAAGGCCACATTAAGACTATGTTCCTGCTCCATGCCACCTGAGATCTCCTTCCCAGCTTTAAGAAAAAAAAGGATGCCCCTATTCTGTGGTTGCTCTCCCACTCAGCCCTCTGCTTGCCTGGCATTGTGTTCGACCGCCACCACTTCTGTCTAGTCCCGGACCCCAGGGCTGGTGAGGCAGCTGTG